AAAAAAACAACAACATACACGCATTAAAGTAAAAATAAAAATAAAAATGTTAGATGAAAGCCGAGGTGTCATTTTCGTAGACTGTGGACCGTCTACAGTTCCAAGCATTATTCCCTGAATTTACTCCATTAATAGCTGGACTCTGATGTTGTTGTTGTTGTTGTTCCTTTTTCTCTTCTTTCTCCTTTTTCTCCTCTTCTTTCCTATTATTTTCATTTTTATTCTCCAACTCTTCGACAGTAAACTGCGAACCTGTAATGAGCTCCGTCTCTGAGAAATACCGTTCATAAGATGGAACATAGCAACCCTCAACCTTTTCAATCATGTCATTATCCCTATTTGCATCTTGCAAATTATTATTATTATTATTATTATTATTATTATTATTANATGCTCTTGCCGCATTCCCATACATTCTCTTTCACTTTCACTTTCACTTTCTCTTTCTCTTTCACTTTCTCCTTCTCTTTCACTTTCTCCTTCTTGTCGTCTCTGTTGTTGTCGCATCTCCGCCTGACGTCGTTCCTGATAGAATGCCATTACCATCATAAGTATATCCGGCCCCGGCAGGGCGTCTGGTGTTTCTCTGCTCGCCCGGGCCTCCGCCACTACCGTCGCGAGCGGCACTCGTCTGCCATCGGCGAGTTGAATGTGTCGACAACGATAACGCCCTTGTGTAGATCCCAATGAATCTTCTTCTCTTTCTTCTTCTCCTTCTCCTTCTTCTTCATCATCGTGTTGTTGATGATGGTGTTGATAAGGATTATGATGATGAGAGTGATGATAGGGATTGGGAATGGGTCGATCGGTGAGGACCTCCCGCCGGCCCCGCAGCTGCACGGCGAGGGGAATCCCCACAAACGCCCGGCGATACGCGACGAGAAGTGCCGTCAAGTGAAAGAGACGCTCCCGCCGCCACGCCTGGTGGAACTGCATGGCACTCAGAAACTCCCACAACTCATATTCCCGCAGGCGAATGGCCTCCCGCTGCTGCCGGCGAAGGCGTTGACGGCGAAGAAGGAGAAGAATGAAGAAAACAGAGAGAAGGAATAGAATAAAGCATATAAGCGTTGCGGAGATGATGAGAGAAGCCTCTATCATATGTATATATATATATATATATATATATATAT